ACATATTCAGTAACACACTCCAGGGCACGAGTATATCTGGTTCACAAGTGGCTGCAAGTTTCTAGGTTCACAGTTGAGTGAATACGGTTATATATTATTGAACTCAGTATAAGCCCTGTAAGACAAAAAAATTGGATGAGTTTTTAACCTTTAAAAAAGATCTCCATTTCATTTTAGAATATTATGTGAGTTTATTACAGTTTATGCCCTCGGATAGGGAAAGGGCAAATTGGGGAACTTAACAGAGACAAGCACTCTTGCGCCATGGCTCAGAGCCAGCCAGGTCAGATGCTCCCGCATAGTCCCACCCATAGTCTCCCACAGTCTCATCCCAGGTCGGTAAATGCCCCTCTCCAGTCCCTGAGTAGTCCCGCCTCCACAGCAGGCCCTGCCGACCCCTGGAGGAACTAATCACCTGGGGGACAGCTGGGGTTGTGCTACATCATGCCTCAGCCCCAGCTTGGCCGGTGGAGACAAGAAAACCATCAGGAAGAGTCAGGGGGAACTGATGTTAAAGAGTAGTTAATTTCTAAACAATGAAATCGTCACATTTATGTAATATCATGTGTTGAAGTTGAATTGTAACATTTCCGTTTTCTGCTGGGCGAGGTGGGGCACACCTGTAATTCTAGCACTTGGGAGGCAGAGGCAGGCAGATCTCTATGGGATCGAGGCCAGCCTGGTCTACATAGTGAGTTCTACGTCAGCTGGGCTACAGGAAGACCCTGGCGCAAGAAAAATAAACAATCAATCAATAAATAAATAAGAAAGAAAGACATTTGTGTTTTCTGAAAGTGGTCTGATTTCAGGATTCCTTCTAACTCATTCTATTTGTTTTTCAGCGGCTTCTTTGCTTTGCATTCAGGCGGATGAGCTGCAGGAGGCTCTCACCTCCCACTGTGTGGTCACTAGAGGAGAAACAATTATAAGACCCAACACTGTAGAAAAAGCTACTGACATCAGAGATGCCATGGCTAAAACTTTATATGGCCGTCTCTTCAGTTGGATAGTCAATTGCATTAACAATTTGCTAAAGCATGACACATCGCCAAGGTAATAATTTCAACATAAGCATTTTCTCCAAATGTTAGGAAGAATATCTCTTTTGTAATTTTTGATTTGTGTCAGTCCTTTTGAATATGATTCTAATTGGTTTAATTATCAAAGTTGTATTTCAATGGATATTCTTCCTTTCCTAGGCATACCATCCCAGTACTCCATGTAATATAAAATGCCTTGATTGTTATAACATAAAAAATTAACAATGTGAGAAATCACAATAGAAAGTGATTTTTAAATGTGACATCATATTATCAGTTCAAATGTTCTTTTAATTAGGAAATATGTCAAGAAGTATATATCATTTTATACTTAATAAATATCAATTCAACAGTTCTTTGATCATGAAAATACAGAAAAACTTTCTTTACTTATTTGAACTCTCACTGCAGCCAGCCCTATAAAAATCCAATGAAAACTGAAACATCCAGGAATGTCTTCCAAATGTATACCTTTTACCTAATGGAAACAGTTAAGGAGGCTGGCCTCCCTTTGTTAGCTGTTCTCTTCCTGTTTAACTCTACATAGTATCCAGAAGGATGATAAACTGAAAATCCCATTGTAGTCTATCTGCTGAATAGTACTTTCCATCCACTAACCAAATCTATCCAAGTCCTAGATTTTTTTAAACTGCAGTTAGTTTAAAATAACTAAACCCAGATTAATGTCCTATAGTTTAGTTTCATTCTTTCAAAATAGACACCAGATTTGCTGCTATGTTATTTGAGGCAGGATCTCATTGTATAGCATAGGCTGGCCTATAACCCCTACCTCAGTCTTTCAACTATTGGGATTATAGGTGTGTGCCAAGACACTCAGATTAAAGTTTCAGAAAGCCCAAGCTTTTCACTCTGAGTTCAACCACTTCTTTTAAATTTGGGGAGCACCTCCAGTTTCTGCCTGCTGGTTCCACATCTTTTGAAGCATACAATGACCTACACTAACTTAATGGTAGACAAAGAGATATTTTTGTAGTTTCCTTTTTAAATGCACAGAAAAGTTACTTTCAGTATATTTGTTTTTTGAGAGAGAAGCAACTGGCCAAGTGTCTAACTTTCAGTAAACAGAATTATCCGCCTTCAATAGTATGAAGAAGCATGTGCTAGAATTATTCAAATGCAACGTGGTATTTAATTGTATTTTGAAGCTTTCTGGTTTTATTTCTGGGGGTGTTTTTGTTTGTTTGTTGAGATAAAGTCTCACTGTGTATCCCAGTCTGGCCTTGAACTGGAACTACTCCTGCCTGAGCCTCCTAAGAGATCTGTGTCACTATAACTAGCTTAAAGTATTTAATTATAAGATGAATTCCTAACAACATTTTTGTTATCATTTGTTTGGTATTTAAGTATGAGTGAGCAAATAAATGAAAAAATAACACTTCTTTAAGAATAATTAAGTCAGGACTGGAGAAATGGCTCAGTGGTCCCTTGCAGAGGATGTAGGTTCAATTCCACTCACATGGTGGCTAACAGCTGTCCTTAACTCCAGTTCCAGGGACTCTGATGCCCTCTTCTGACTCCCACGGGCATTGTACAACATAGGCGCACTTTCATACATGCAGGCAATACATTCATACACATAAAATAAACATAATAAAAATTTAAAAAGAATAATTAAGTCCTTTGTAGTAAGATGCCTTCATTGTTCTCCCAAAACGAAAGACTAAATGTATTCCTTAAAAGAACTTATGCCTCTCTGCCACAGTTTTGGTTGACTACGTTCGCAGTACTCTGAGTGCCAACCTGGTTGTTCTGTGGTGCTTGACTCACACAGGGCTGTGACTTCCCGCTTACAGCCTGTAGGGAGAAGTTTCTTACTTATGTTTAGTAGTATAAGAGCACAGGGGTAGTTTTTACAGTACAAGGAAAATACTTTTCCACTCAAAGAGCACTTCTTTTACTCTTCTAGCGGGGATGAAGAGCTGAGCATTGGCATTCTTGATATATTTGGCTTTGAAAATTTCAAAAAAAATTCCTTCGAGCAGCTGTGCATTAACATTGCAAATGAACAGATCCAATATTATTTTAACCAACATGTGTTTGCATGGGAACAGGTAAGTTAAAACACCCACTCTAAAGATACATGCATGTGTGTTAATGTGTAATTATAAAGATAAAGCAGTACCTGAGCCATGTATTTAAAGCCTTAAATGTTCAACAAAAAAGAAAGGATTTCCTTTTCTCTGTGCCCATAGTAAGAATGCAAAAAAGCTAGTCTGACTGGGTGTGATATGATATGTGATGCTCAAAGGCCTTCACTGAAAACGAGTATGATTTTCTTCAAAATTTAATGATTTTGAGCTCTTGAAAACAAAGAAATTTCCTCTGAAGTTTTAAAGAAGCAGATGTATCTAACCATATCTGCTTCTTTAGACTGCATTGTTGAAATTCTGTTTGAAATTTCAATGGTCGTCTACAGTGCATTAAACTTCAGGATGCTGGTATCTAGGCAACAGAACCTAAGATAATGGGTTTGATGTAAATGTCATGAAGCAGTAATTTTGTCAGGGTACAATGTGTAATTTATGATTCAGCTTCAAAAATATTCCTCCTTAGAGACAGCAGAGACTTACTTGAATCACATTTGGTAAAACTGTCATATTAAGAATATTTAAATTGTTTTAATATGTCTGATTCATACTTAATTCTGTTCAGTATGTCATTTATTGCCTTCAAATTATGTTATTTTGCTTTGTGTTTACTGATTAGAAATGATGTTTTAATTCAAACTTGATCTAAATTAGAGATGCATATTTTGTATTTTACAATGTTCAGACTTTCAGAATTTACTTTGAAGTTGCATTTTGGAAGCAGTGGTCACAGAAGCAAGCATATAGATCTTGGCCCTTTTTAATCTAAGGAAAAGACCTAAATTTAAGACAGACTTCATTTGTTCATCTCCATCCTTATACCAGGATCAGGCTCCGTTTAATATCCATTGCCTTGCTCTTCCTGCCCCTCTGGTCCCCTGTCCGGGGCTCTCCACTGTCATCTCCTAGTGCCTGGATGAAATTCACTTAAGATCTTAAAAGCAAATAGAAACCCAAAGCCTTTGCTACTCTCCTTATCTCTATGGTCAAGACCTTCACTCCTCCCTTACAGCTCAGCTCCAAGAAAACATTTCAGCATTCCTTTCCTTGCCTTGATTTCCTTCCTTCCTAGGTACACGGTGCACAGCATCTGGTTCAGTCTCCTTCACCACCCTGGAATGGCCCCAGCCTTATGATTGGTGATTAATACATTCTTGCCTTTTTCACAAGACCGTAAGCTCTTTTATGTACAAGATTAAGATCATCTTCTTAATTCTTTCAGTGTTTTTAGAAGCTAAAACACATGTAGCAAATGTTCGGTGAATATTAATTAACTTAATGTAATTTTGCTTTAATGTCACACAATACAGAATCCCTTCAAATCAGATATTAAAATGAGTGAACTTATTTTGTTGAAGGACATTACTGTATGGAACCAGTGCATCCTCATATATCTGTCTGATTAGTTAATGCCTTGCACTGGCAGACTTCTCTTGCTCTCTTTTTTGGGTAGAAATTAGAACATGGTTTTATTGGAATTAGCCTTAAACCAATGTGCAGATATATCAACAATTGTTGACAGTTACATGTTATAGAATGTCACTATTTGCAAACCACTTTAATTGATAGATTTTAATTTCATCCATGATAATAATGCTATTTTTCCTTTGAACTTAGAAAATGATCCTATAGGGACTTTGAGTTATTTTTGAGAGGTTTCAAAAAAGAACACCTCAAAATAATATCTCCCAAATGCTCTTCAGTGTGGGTTCATCCACTGGAGGCTTATCACCCTATCAAGAGTCTCACCCTTGAATGAAAGTGAATCTACCCTTTCCAACAGTCATCAATTGCCAGTAGTTCCTCAGATAAGGTTAGGGTTTCTTATCCATTTCCCCATGTCCATGCTGGAATTTTGTCTGGCTTGAGCATACATAAAACTTGTTCATGTTGTCTTAAGTTGATATGAGAAACTGACCAACTGGGAATTATAAAGAGGGGGTGAAGATATGGGAATGAATCTGAATACGATCAAAATATATTGTATGGCATTCACACAAAAATAATAAATAACATCCCAACACTCACACTTTAAATTTATTTAGGATCCATGATTATACAAAGCGCTCTGAAGAACTATGATCATCCCCAGTTCTTTCAGGTACCTTTTCCTGATTCATAACCTTCTGGGCCAGGTGACAAAGTATGGTCAGGTTGATGAATGTGTGATCTGGTAGACAAGGGGTTAATCAATGAGTCTCTTGATTTAATGAGTTGGGCACTTTTTTATGTTTCGCTCTGTTACTTCCTGTGACAGCAGAACATGTGATAACTAAGAAATGCTAATGGAAATGCATATATCATTTATCACAGATAAAGAACAAACACTGGTTTCCATGAGAAATGTCTGTTAAAACAAATCATTAACTGCAGTTATGCTGTAGCTGTCTCTTTGCTCAAATATAAAACCACAGACTTGGCTGAGAGCACCTTAGTTTAATGGAGCTGTTATTGCTTGCTGGCAGAAAACGGTGTTCTCAACTTTGTGAGATGTACAAACTATCAGCCAGGCGCTGGCCTCAAGCAGCATCTTCACAGGTGAAGCACTTGTCTTGCTTAAAACAAAAAAAAAAATTAGTGATCGTCCTATGACACTGAACTCTAAACAGTTGTCTGCTATGAAATGAAAATGCTATTTCAGTTAAGTTTTAATTCTGTTATAATGTTCAATGGACGCTCAGACAAAGTTGGTTATAAAGGTATTTTAAGTATCACTTTCCTGTTAGCTTTTGTTATAGAACAGAAGCCATAGATCGGTGTATCGGTCACATTTTCATCACTGTGACAAATACCTAAGAGAGCACCTTGAATGGTGGAAAATTTATTTTGTCTATGATTTCAGAGGGTTCTGTCCCCAGTTGCTTGGCTGATGTGTTTTGGGCAGTGACTCACAGCTGAAGTGGACAGCAGAGGAGTTTCTCACCTCGTGGCTGATAGAAAACGGAAAGTAAAATGGACTAGGGGGCTGCTATAACCCTCAAAGGCACATGCCAGTGGTCCTCTTTCTCAAGCTAGAGCTCATCTCCCACAGTTTCCATCACCTCCCAAAGTAGCACTTCCAATTGGAGCCCCAGCCTCTAGATGCAAGCCTGTGGGAGATATTTCATATTCAACCCATAGGACACAATCAGACATTTTTTTATTTTTTATTGACTTTTTGTGCATTTCATAACAATACATCTTGATCATATTTAGACTCTTCAGCTATCTCTACCCCTCACAGCCACTCCCACCCAGATTTCATGCATTCTGTCATATACTTTAAGGCATACTGAGTCAAGTTTGTGTCCCCAGATGTCCCTCAGTGTGAGTCCATCCACCTTGGAGCCTGGTCAGCCTATCTAACATCACTCCCTTAAGGAAGATCAACTCTCCGTCACCCAGCACTCATCAGTTGCCAATCATTCCTCAGCTAAGGCTGAGGATTCTTACCCATTTCTCTGCTTCTATGCTGGTCTTTGTCTGGTTTGTGTTTGCATGGGTCCTGTACATGCTGTCACTATTGCTGTAAGTTCATATGAGCCAGTTCCCAGCCGCCTGGAAAATTCTGTTTCCTTGTAGTCATCCACTACCCCTGACACCTGGTCTTTCTGCTCCCTCTTCCACAATGGTCCCTGAGCCCTGGGTGGCAGAGCTTTATTATAGGCGTCCTATTCAGAGACACGCAATCTGCGGTCTCTAATTCTCTGCACTTGAGCCAGTTGTGGTTTTCTGAGTTAATCGCCCTCTGTTAATCTGAGGAAGCTTCACTGATGAGAGTTGAGAGATGCGTTAATATTCTCTCTGCTTCCTTCTCTGCTGCGTTCCCTGAGCCTTAGGCGTAGAAGTTTCATTGTAGATGTATCACTTAAGGCTGGGCACATCACACACTTATTCTCTGCATTTGACCAATTGTGAAACTCTATAATAGTCTCCATCTGTTGCAAAAAGAGTATTGAGAGGTACACATGTTTGTCAATATGACACACAAGTAACATACAATTAGAAATTATGTTTGTCTAGGGATGTGACAGATGTAGATTTTGCTCTATAATCTATGACCTCTCCAGCCATGTGCATTTGGCTATGTTAACAGTACCACACATGAGAACACATGAGTTCTCTCTCATTGAGTGGGTTTTAAGTCCAATTAGACAGCTGTTGATTACCCCCAAGATAAAAGTGCTACTACTGCACTTGTAGAGATACTTTGCTGGGTCAGTCATTATTGTGGTTATCAGGCTTTATAGCTGGGGTTGGACCATTGATTGATTTTCTTTCTTAGCAGCTTACACAGTATCCTCTGATGCTATGAGAGCTAGCCTTCAGGTACGAGGCTTCCAGGTCATTTCCAACTCCACAACTGGCAGAGACTGCAGAGTGCACGTCCCTGGATAGGACTCCTACATTAAACCTTTGCCATCCAGGGTTCAGAAACCATTTCAGAAGAGGGGGAGGAAAGAGTATGTCAGGGTAGTAGATGACCACAAGGAAACTAGGCAACTAGGAACTTGCTCATATGAACTTACAGGAATGGTGACAACATGCAAACTCAAACCAGACCAAAACCCAGCATAGAACTGGGGAAATGGGTAAGAAGCTGAGGAACTATTGCAGCTAGTGAAGGAGAGTGGGTCTTGTTTAAGGGAGTGATGCTACATAGGACCAGGCTCCAGTGGATGCACTCACACCGAGGGACATCTGGGGACATAAACTTGACAAAATAGGCCTTAACAAACATATATGACAGAATGCATGAAATCTTGTGTGGTGGAGGTATTGGGGGCTCAGCTAAGGGAGGGGTCTAAATTGATTAAGATGTATGAAATGAAAAAAATTCAATAAAAACTATGTGTTGTAATAAAAATTATGGGTGAGATTCCTCTAAATGAATTGTTTTATTAACTGCACAGGTGTAACACTCACTTTCCACCTTCCCTGTGACATTTATGAAACATGACACACTGTTGACTTTTGTATTTTCC